CCGGCCTTGAGAAATGAAGAAGGAGAGATCCCTATCCCAACCAGATAATCTTTTACCGGAACATACCTTGTTCTATTATACGCCTCCGCCTTGGTCGAGTTAAAACATCCTCCAATACTACTTCCACTATAAAACCTTTGTTTGGTGGTTTCAGTGCTATCCTCGATCCTTCTTTCGCTACTGAACTATCTGGGGCAAGAAAAGCTTCTCCGCTCGTAAACTCGGTAATAGGCTTCGCTCCTCGCTTTTGTTCAATTATAAATCAAAGTGAATAGAAAAAAGACAGGCGCAAAATAAGCATCAGTAATGAGGGAAGGGACGGCAGTTATTGAGCACACCCCAAAATCAACTTGAGTTAGAGTGGGGTGGTTGGGCTCACATTGAACACTGCGGATCGGGGTGATTTTCTTCACTGACAAAGACACAGAGAGTGGTCGGCATCAGCGATCTCATCGTTCCAGTCCCCGGACGAAGGTGAGACCAACCTTATTATGATTAGCGAAGTCCTTTCCAACTCCGTCGAATGGTTTCCCTCCCCTTCCCTTGTCTTGGTATCTGTCTTTGGTGGACTGTGAAGGCGCGTAGCGGGGTTGTTCCGTTGTGTTGTTGTCGGGTTAGCTTCCCTAACAACTGGACTTGGCTTGGGATTTCCAATCTCCTTCCGCATTCTTTCCTTTAATATGCTTGTATCACATACCAATAAGACATAGGAGGATCCGATAGATTGAAATCACATACCAATAAGACATAGGAGTTGGTTCCGAACAGATAAGATGGTAGTTGGCTATCAATCATCTTTAGCATGAGTCGATCCCTATTCTTCTATAGTTGGTGAGAACTCTGACTTGAACCTGCTGCTTACTTCAATCTTCTTTTCAATTCAGATATGGATGGTAAAGTCCATTCAGATATAGATGGTAAAGGAAGATCAAGTTACTCGGCTAGACCATTATCCAAAGAATGGAAAGCTAAAGCAAGTCAAAGAATCAGTCCCATAATTGAATGGCATCGTCCTTTCTTTCCCCCATGAATTGCTTTCTCTCGTACTCATGCGATCCCGTCCGACCCCTTCCTACTTGAACTCCTGGTTTTGATGCTGTGACTTCCCCCATGAATTGCTTTTTCTTCTTTTCTTGCTTTCCTGCGTTGCGTACAACTCCTTCTCTTATTAGAGGGCTCCCACGGCTCCTATGGTTGAGGAGCGTTGGGCCCATTCTAAGTTGGAGCGACTCTCCGGAAGAATTCCTTTGAAGAAAGATCCAAGCACTCAACTTGATTGGAGAAGTTAGCGAAAGAGTCTCGAGAGCAAGGCGTTGAGCGGATCAACTTTTGCTTTCCCCTAATAATCTGAAGGGAACGGGTGAGAATGAAGTTCAGGCTAACCACAGCTCCTTTCTCGTTTCAGTGGGGGGTTGCAGTCTAATGAGAAGTGAGGGTTGATCATCGATCTGGAGCGAATCTTTTCTGCCAATTGACTTTCCCTTTGAGACTACTGGACCTAGTTCTTGCCTTTGAGCTATGAGCTCGGCTCTCTCATCAAGGAAATCACGGAGTTAGTCATGACATCAACAGCGATCCTCCTACGAGCAAACAGCTCGCTATTCATGGATAGTACTTCCAAAGCAACAAGGAAAACATACTCTTTTCGGACCTTACGGTCCTGCTTTAGCTGCCCTGGTAACATACGTCAGCTTACAGGAATGCTGTGCATACACAAAAGCAAGGCAGCCTCGGACAAACATTTGGGCCCTTCACAACCCATGAAACCTATTCCCACCGGAAGAAAGGAAGAGATTTCTTTACTCAAGCTGCAAACAACCCGCCACGCCCTCCGTGCACCACCCACCCGATAGTACACTCGGGCGCTACACCGTCTCGACAACTACGAGGTAGTGATCCAGGGGATTGGGATACCACCTGGAGGACATGAATCAACGGGGACATCGCTACGACACTCTTCCCGCCTACTCCATGGCCATATTCGCAGATAACAACTGCAACCTCAACATCCTGCTGCTCGATAAGCCACCACTTCTCCGGGTCTTGATGGCCGAGGTGCTTATGAGTAAGCCGTTGCTTCAACAAAGGATTTACTGAGCGAACTACTAAATCAACAAGATCAATCGTCTTTGCTTCCGGCATCCTTTCTGATTCACCGGATTACAGGTCAACAGAACCGTCGTCCTATTCCTTCGACTATGGCTATGGCATGTCCCCTGCTCCTATCTTAAGTATGTAAGTTGCTTTAGCATCCTCTCCCTTTCATCTGCAGAGTTCTTTTTCCCCATCCCTTTATCCCGAAAAAAACCTTCTTCCTAGTCGAGGAGGGGGACACACACTCATTCATAGACAATGGCTCACTCACTCTCTTTACTTTAGAGTAGGGAAAAGACTGACTAAGGGGGCAGCTAAGTTGGACAGTCTCCTTCTCGGCAGCAATTCCCCTTGCCTTTTTTTCGTTCTCATGGCTCATCACATGTCTGAGCTAAGAGTTGGTATGGAGCTTTCACAAACACTAGCATTCGATGCAGCAGACTTCTACTATGGCGCGCTAGCCTTGATTCAATCAAATATCCCGAAGAAGCTTATACCTTATAAGAAGGAGTTCTCGGTTCACCAGTTGTAGTCGGAGAAAGAGACGTGGCAGACATTGATCGGTTCATTGGGACCGGGCTAGCAAAGGTGCGAATCCTTTTACGCCAGAGGCGTTCCTCTCAGTCGAGAGACTGGCGT